GTTAACAAATATGGGTATTTATCTTCCCTGTATTAAACAAATCAGAGTATTAGTCCATAAAACCTTGTTCCTAAGCTCACAGGAAAGTTCTTATGTTTATGTGCTTTAATAGTCCTAAGTTAACATAATTTACACTATTCCTAGATGCTTCTGCATTATTTTATTAGATTATTAGACAATAATGTTATGTCAGACTCCCTGACATAATATCCAGATGCTAAGGAATCACATTAGCAGATTTTGTAAATCTGACTGCCTGAGTCAGATACTAGCAACAGAAAACTCAAATAAATACAGTTAAGCAACTGTGAATGTGACATGCCTTTACACTTCAGGAGTGAATGCAGAACAAACAGATTTTCTCATATCCAAGTGAAGATCAGTTATCGAATTTACTAAATCATCTCCACATTTCTGTGTGTTTAACTCTAACAGCATTTTTTCTTCTGACCAGATGATTATGGCCAATTTATTTTATTTTTGCATATTACATAGCAGTAACAACTACTTAACCTGTGCAGAATGAGATATTTATGACTCTAATATAAGGATACAGTGTAGAGAAATACAGGCCTAGTAGAACAGGAGAGACTTTGAGAAGCAGAGATGCAAGACTGGATGATAATACACTATACAGGCTTGGGATGGTAGTAGAGAGAATTTCCCCTCAACTATACATTAGTATCCTGCTTGTTAAAAAATATAACCAAGTTTAATTAGTCAACAAGAAGCCTAGCTTATTAAACTCTTTCTAGATAATGTCCAGTGACTGTTATACATAACCCACTCAATAGAGTATAACTATGCATAACAGTTCCATTAATCTCCTTGATTATAGGTGTTCTGATTGTATTGTCCTTGCTCATGGCTGAGCCAATACCTCACTACTAAGCATGGCTCAGCTTAAGTCAATAAGCTAAAAGATGCACAACACTCGAGTGCTAAAGGATAGCAAATGTAGAACCTGGATACTTTCAGATACTTTAGAATCTTAATTGGACTTGAAAATGCAGTAATTAATTTGGCTTAAGAATACAAAAAAGTGCTAGACCACTAGGTGAGGAAAAATCGTATTACTTAAATCCTACCAGTTTTATTGCCTATTCACTTACTGACTAAATCATCTCTGGTATGGAGTACTTTTCATATTTTCGCAGAACCACAAAATGATTTGGGTTGGAAGAGACCTTGAAGCTCATCTCATTCCAACCCTCTGTCATGGGAATGGACACCTTCCACTCGACTAGGTTACTCAGAGTTCCTTTCAACCTGGCCTTAGACACTTCCAGTGATGCTGCAGCCACAGCTTCTCTAGGCAACCTTTTTCAGCATCTAATCACCCTTGGAATAAAAAATTTCTTCCTTACATCCAACCAAAATCCTCTTTCAGTTAAAAACCATTGCCCCTTGTCCTGTCAATAGAAATCTTGGGGGAAACAAAAAGGGAAAAAAAAAAAAAAACCAACCAAAAAAAGAGGGGTTAAAAAAAGGTATAATAAAATCTTTCTCCATCTTTCTCACAAACCCCCATTATACATATCAAAAAGCTGAATAATCTTAACTCTTTTGACCTTTCCTTTTTTCACCTCATAGGAGAGGTGCTCCAGCCTGTTAACCATCTTCCAAGATCCCTGCCGTGCTTGTGTTGGGAATGCTGGACACAGATGCAGTACCTCCAGGGTCTGAAGGTGGGGTCTCACCAGAGTGGAGCAGAGGGGCAGAGTTACCTCCCTCAGCCTGTTGTACCACTTCTTCTCATGCAGCCCAGGACACCGCTGGCTTTCTGGGTTGCAGGTGCACATTGACAGTCCACAGCCAATTTTTCATCCACCAGTATCCCAAGTCCTTCTTCTGCAGCATTGCTCTCAAATCATTCATCCTCCAGCTTGTGCTGATAATGGGGATCCCCTGACCCAGGTGTAGGACTTTGCACTTGGCCTTGCTTGACTTCATGCAGATCCTCCAGCTTGCCATGCCCCCCGTCCCCCACCCCAAATGGCATCCCTTCCTTTTAGTGCATCACCTGAACCACCCACCTTGGTGTCATTTGCAGCCTGTGCTGAGGGTGCACTTGACCTCATTTATTTTGTTGATGCACATTCTGAATAGCACTGGTTTCAATGCGAACATTACTCCTTACTGGTTCTCACATGGATACTGAACTAGTGACTGTAACTCTTGGGACAAGGATGGTGTGGAGGACTTTACGACAGAACCAGACAAAAAATGAAGCAGCATGCTGAGAGAGAGAGTTTTCACTCAGAAAGACCTGTCTGCAGTAAAAAACAACAGGGAACATATTACAAAGTGTTTAAAAGACTTAAAATTGTTCCCAGTCTCCCAAGTTTATTCCACAGTGAATCATTTTATGTAAAACTAGGATGCTGGCAAAATTAGGTATGGCTGAAGCTCTGTAACTAGGTTTAGCAGATCTACTCAAAGAGTAAATTATTTATCCCACCTAAAACATGCACAACAAAGCCTAAATGAAGTGGACCTAACTTATGTAGAGAAGAAAGGTATAAGCCATCTGAATCTGCATTTCACTACTTCCAACATTTCTGAGTATATTAAAATATTAATAAAGTGTTAAATTGAGTTTCACTTTTGATATGAACCTACCCCACTGGTAGGAAATTTGAACCTCAGAAGGCAAAATTAATTACGTACACACACACAAGGATTTACCAGCAGTAGCTAGGGAAGTTTTATCTGCAGTAGTGTCACAGCCAATAGCTTCCATATAGTACGACACTGCTGAGGATAAATAGCCCATTTTCTTCAGTTTGAGGATGCCCTTCCTGGGTGGTACACATACATAAGTGGAGGAAATTAAGAATGGTAAATGCAGGCCAAGTGACAAAAATGACATCTTGGTAGTGTCACAGTTCCTCAAAAGCTGTCCCAAGTGAAATAGAACTTCCCTAGCTTGGAAACATAAAAAATAGAATTCTTCTTAGGAGAAACCTAACATGATCACAGCAGTTACTAGGAAATCACAATTATAAACTCAAGTTTTGGTTGCATCCATTACTGGCAAAAAAAATCATGGGTAAGTACTTCTTCCTAGAGAAGATCTAAAAACACAGATATAAAAAAGCTAGATGAATTTGAGTTGGAAATAATAAATTGAGCCTTCTCAATGTTTCTCAAAATAGTGATGAAAGTTTTTGTTAAAGATTTCATCATCCCTTTGGCCTTCAGTGTCCATTTCTAAGGTAAAACTGAACTGCAGTTCACTGCTACAGGAAATTGTTTATGGGACAATCACTGATTCTACAATGAAGTAAAAAATAATTTCAACATTCATTTCAACAGTCACCTGACAGCATTTAATACTGCAGTCACATTAACGAAAAGTACTGCTTTCTTTAACAAACAAAACCCCACTCCTAAACCATGCACTTGACTAATCTCTTCTAAAGAATCAGACTGATGACACAAGTTAAAAAGCTTTGAGAAGTATTTGCCTTTGTCATTTATAAATGCTGTGAGGAATCCTTGAGATTCCAAGGAAAGAAGTTTAGGACATCTATTCCTCTGAAAAATATACCTGCAGGCTAATAACTAACTAGCTGCCGACAAAGACAACAAAGTCAAGAGAATAACTATTACAGCAATCTAATTTAAAAGGAAAACTATATTACATATGCTCAATTTGAAAATGCTCCACTTTCCGTTTTGTAAGTCCTCAACATTATGGAATCTAATAAGGGAAAAAACCTTGCTTCCCAACACACAAGAGCAGAGTAATTGCTCAGGATTTCTGCAAATGTACTAACACAATAAACATCACCACTATTAATACCCATACATGTAAATGAACTAAAAGGAAGTAAACCCACTGATGAAACAGCTCAATTAGACAAAATTCTACAATTCTTCAGAATGCTGCCTTCCTCCCTTAAGGTGAATAAAAAGATTCACCCTTTCTTACCCATGTAACATACTTTCAAAATGAAGTTTAAAAGATTACTATATAATGACAGTAAAACACTTAGTATCACTGATCATGACTTTATTAGAGGGTTCTTGCTTACAAATAGCAAATGAGGAAGCATACATAGTACTTATGGAACTCTATTAGAAAGCTATTTTTCCCTTTCTGAATACTGTGTTCCCGCTCTTCTTCCAGAATAATACTTCCACTCTTTCTGCCATCACTGCTGAGTATCTATGATCTTAGGCCTACACTCCCACTGCAGTAATCTGCAAAACCATTTGAATTCCACAGGAGTAGAAAAAGATTCTCTCAGAAGTTAAATTATTTCAGACTCACCAATTTTTATTTCACCATAGCTTTGTGGCTTGTCTTCCCTCCCTAAAGGCTTTTTTTTTTCCTATTCCCCTTTCCGAAGGAAGGCAAGCCATGGTTTTTCGTTTAGTCAGATCAAGGTTTACATCATGTCATTGAATTAACAAACAGATTTTTCCAAGGTGCAAACCAGCATGCCTATGGTACCGAGGCAAAGGCTGCTTTACCAAGCCACGTTTATGCTTTCGTGCTTTTCGGCTCATTGCTGGAGGCCTTCGAGGCTCCTGGAGCAGCAGACCAGTCCTGAGGGGGGTTTGCTCATTCTGCACGTTTGTTTTGCCACGGAAATATCACGCACATTGGAAGAGGAAATCAGTTTGCAGCAACACCTTCAAACAAGCTAAGCAGCTTTGCAAACCCCGTGCCCCTCATCGCAAATGCATGGCTTTCCAAGGAGCAATTACAGCAGAGCCCGAACACGCAGGTGTGCCCCCGGTGACCTTCCCGCGGCGCCGGCCGGCAGCACCAGCGGGCAGCTCCCGCTGCACGCCGCGAACGCCGGCAGCCCACAGGTACCGCCGGCAGCCCACAGGTACCGCCGCTCAGCGGGCTCCGGCCCCGCGCACCGCTCCGGCGCCCCCCGGCCCCGCTTCAGGCACCCCACACCCGAGTCGGCTCGGCCCGGCCCGGCGTGCGCACCTGCCCCTCTCTGCCCCACAACGCGGACAAAGCGGCCACAACGCACCTGCTCCCGCGGCGAGGGCGGCGGCGGAAGCTCCAGGTCTGCCCGCCCCCATCTCTGCGCCCACCGGCTCTTTCCCTGAACCGATCGTTCTGCTTTGCTCCAGGCCGAGCCAGGCGCTCCGGCGTCCCGGGGTCTACCGCCAACACGGGGGACTCTGCGGCCACCGCGCCCCCACATTCGCCAAGGGGCACAAACTCCGTCTGCCTCCGGCCGCCGCTGTTCGGCCGGGCGGATCTACGCTGTAAACAGGCCGGAGGACAGTACAGGCGCCGACCGCCCCCGCCCCAGCACCGGCGCTCGCCCCGCCGTGCCCCGCGCTCACCGTAGAGATGTGCGGAGGCTTCGCCCTTCCTCGCCATCGTCTCTCGATGCCCTCCACGCCGGCACTGCCGGGGCACAGCCAGGGGCCCGGCGCCTTCCCCCGCCGCTCAGCGCGTTCTTTGTTGCCGCGAAGGCATGAGAGGCGGCGGCGGCCGGGCAGCCTCCCGCTCCGCTCAGCCGCGGCCGCCCGCAGCACCGCCCGCACCCCACGCCCACCCTCCCGTCCCGCCGGCTCCGCGGCGACGCCTGCGCCGACCCGCGGGGGCGGTGCCGCTGCCCGGGTCGAGATGAGGGGGGGTGCGGGCGGAGCTGCCGCGCCGAGGGGTGCTGAGACGGGTCGCCGACTTCGCGTGGGCCCGGCGGCAACTTCGGCATCTGAGGACAGCGAGCGGGGCCGGACCCAGCGAGCCGTACCTGGCAGGGCGGTTTCCATCCTCCCGCGCCAGCCGCTGCTGACCGCAGCGGGGTGTCTGTGCCCGTGCCCTGCGCAGAGGCCGGAGCTGTTGCCGCAGGTGGAAAGCGGCCGGCCGGCCGTGGAGCCGGGCCCCGCCGAGAAGCGCCTCCCTTGGCGGAGCTGTCCGTGCGGCCCGTGCTGAGCGCCGGCCCGGCCGGGCCGCCCTCGGGCAGCGGCCTCCTGCCCAGCACGAGCTCCCGGGGCTGGAGCAGGTGAAGCGCTACGCGCTCAGCGACAGCCGTCCGTCTGTCCCTGACTGGGGAAGTGTGTTGGGCCTGGGTTGGGGCATTTTCATGATTCAGTCAAAAAACACCCTCAATACTGAGAAATACTCATTTCTGGTCATAAACTTTCCTTCAGTTGCCATCCTCCTCCATGCGTTTTATCTGAATGGGACAAAGGCCACTTACGAGCAATCAGTCCAATTGCTGAGATTCTTTTACAGTCGTGACAGCACAAATCATCACTACAGCAAAAGGCCACTATATGCAGATGTCATGATGTTATTATCTGTTGTCACTAAGTCCAAGACAACAGAGTATTTTATAAGACAAAACATTTTGAAATGACAGAAGTGCACCTATCAGCCATTACTTGTATTTTCAAACATGAGCTTTGGAGGAAAAGTTACTTTCCAAGGCTTGCAAATAAAGATATCCTTCCTAAAATTGGCTTAAGACCTCAAAAGCACATGGCTCATTTATTGATGAGTAAGTTAATGTCCATAGATCATGGAAGTTGTTGCTCTGCTTGTATGGAAATGTAAACCAATCATCTGTGCATTAGTGAGAGTATGTGCCTTTTACATACAAGGTGTGTGCATCATCAGGTCTTGTAGAGGTAGCTGCCTTGGCTAGTTTCAAGAAAATTAAATCAGGCATATTTATGACCTTATCTATCCTCCTAGCGGTCTCAGTTCAGGCCAATCACTCCAATATGAAGTATATGTATGTCGTGGTTTGACCGGAAATGGGACATATTAAAATTTTATATTAAAAATACATATGTAGTTTTGTCTGATGTAGTTTTGTCTGGTAGTAGTGGAAATACTTGGGGGAATCACTCCTCCTCCCCCTCATATATAGAATTGTTAGAATTTATACTTTTAAGTATATATTTTCAAATGAGTACTTGCTTCCTTCCTTTCATCCCATTTTATCACAGTGGGCAGAGGTTTATGATTTTGATTCATGATCATAAATTTGGGCAGAGGTTTATGATTCTGTGCACTGCTTATAGTCTACAAATTTATTGAGAGCTCCTTCTTAACCTGTCTCCCTAACCACTAGGCCACTTACCTAGCCTAGCTACCCAAGATGCCTGTTTGTGTTCCAGGAAATGGACCTCAAGTAAACACCTGATGTGGAAAAGGGTTGATGTACTTTGCTAAGAAGAAATTCTTATTTAATCTCAGTGATGCTGACTAGGAAAACAATTCTGACAATCTCACCTGCAGAAAAAAGATCTTCTTGTGTCAAAGACTGAGTCGAACATGAGAAATGCAGCGTAGGACAGCTTTGTAAGAAGGAAGGAAGTGTATTAATGTATTCTGGCTCATTCTGATAAGGCATGGCAACCTAAAGGTAGCAGGCATGACCGGATTTGATCGTCAGAGCTTTAGTGGCATGCTTGAGGAAGCTTGTACCCCTTGTGCAGGGGAATGTATCGATATATAGTATATAGCTGTATTGTTTGGCATGGCCTCATGGGTGCCTGGCATCGGGCAGTGTCAAACCACAACAACAGCCTACCTTCAAGAATGGATATTGGAATCTCAACAAAAACAAACATAGGTAATACAGGTAGTATAGCCTGTTCTACAAATAAATATCTATGATACATAAGTATCACATATTATATATATATATAATACAGAGCTTATACAATATCTATATTGTGTCTATACTATACAGTTTATATAATATAGTATTTATATCCTCCAGGAGAAGTAAATTTTTACTTGGTTCTGACTACCAGAACCAAGGAACTACTAAAAAATACACTAAAATAAAGAGAAAACTTGCTAAAAAGCATTCAAAATGTTAGAATAGTGCTAAAAACTACAAGACAGCTATTCAGATAGATAGAAGGCTATGTAAGGAGACCACTTTGAGACATAGCAGATCATCTTTGTATATTCATGTTTCTCTGAAGGGCCTGAGATATGGCAGAAGGAAGTCACCAGGACTAGATAGAATGAAAAGGGCAGTAGCTACAAACAAGGCGTAATATACCCATACTCCTATAACCTACCAAAATAGGGAACAATTGTGATCAAGTGAGTAAATCATAAAGGATCACTAAATTTGGCATGTTAAGTGTGAAAGAACAGTAAGGCAGGCCAAAAAAGAATTTGACTATTAATTGCAAAAAAGGATGCCAAAAAGAATATTTTGTCTAAAGGCCAAGAGGAGGAAAAGAATATGTAGAGTTAATAGGATATTTTCCTTAAGTCTTCTATGCACATATAGACTTGAAGGTGATAAGCATTTTCACAATTTTTTGAAAATACTTCCAATAAAAATCCATAAAATTGCTGACCATGCCTCTGAATGTTGCAAATAATGAAAACTACAATAATGCAGAAAGATTTCTGTGATATATTGGAAAAGTATAATTTTTGTAAAGAGAAGTCAAGGCTCAGAGAACTACTGAAGACTTCCCAAGGAGCCATGAAAATGAGGGCATACAGCTGATTTTCAAGTTATTTGGATTTCTGAAAACATTCCACAAGGCTCCTCATGAAAAAAGTTTTAAATAAAATAATCTACCATAGAGGGAAAAGTTATTTTATGGCTGAAAATTGTTAAAGGGTGTTAGAATGGCCTATCACTCCTTGCAGCACCAGGACCCTTCCTGCCCTGCCCTGCCGCTGGAGGCCACGCCGGTGCCCGGGGACGCAGGGTCCCTGCCAGGCAGGGACGTGGCTGCTGCTGCCTCCCTGCCTGTGGTGCACAGTGTTCAGCAGCACCCACACGCAGCACTCGCCCTCAGCCCCAGCACAGAGCACAGGCAGACACGTCCTCTCCTCCTCTGGGCTGGCAGAGACAGAGGGTCACTAGTGCAGGCACGCACAAGACTCCCTGGATGCCCAAGCACATTCCCCCAGTACTCCTGGCCAGACCCCAGGCTCCTTACCTGCCTCAGGAGAGCCTATTTCCAGGCTGGTTCAGCTTGATGCTTGCTGCAAACATATTGCACTCACATATCCCACAGGAACTCCACACTCACAGGTTGCCATGGAGGGCAGAATGGATCCCTGCCTGTCTGACGGCCTGATGTCTCCTACTCATTGGCAAGTCCAGCTTGGAGTTTGCCAGGAAATGAGAAATGCACACACCCACTATGGAGAAGATAATCCAGCACCACACACGAGCTGTGACATGTGGTCACACTCCAGCTACTGGTGCTGAACCCATCACTCACCTCACCCACAGCAGCCCCTCCCAGGAGGAGAATTTCAGGACACGCACTCACTGTGCCCACCTCAGCAGCTGGCAGCTGAGACCTCCAACCACTCCAGCAGCAGATAACGAGACCTCCCCAACACCAGCAGCACCAGTGGGCACTTTACATCCCCAAATGTAACCTTGGTACCAAATCCACTCATAGAGGACCCTCAGTAGTTGCCACTTTATCCTTACAACACACATACACATGGGAGAGTGAGATTGGGCTCAGTCAGACAAGTGTACCTACTGCCCTTTTTAACATTGACTGGTCCATTTAATAGTCCATTCTTTACTTTCTCCTCTGTTCCTCCAGGTGCAGTTCCCCTGCACATTCCTTCGTTAGTTTGAATAGCTCCACAGATCCATTTCCAACATCATGGACCCTCACATTTGCATCTTATCAGGTGCAAAGTCCCAGTTTGTCTGCAGTTTATTGAGAGGCAGTTTGTTTCTTGTCTTTATCACTGTTGTCTTTGACTGTCAAGTGTGTGTCTCCACATTTTGTTTATGGCTTTCCACCTTTTGTTGTTATCTCATTTGACAAGACCTTTGATCAGATAATGGTACTGAAATAAACATTCCTCATCAGTTAGTACGACTGATTTGTGTGTCATCCCTGACTCCCTCATCATTTGTCAGTCAGGTCTTTCATGTTCTTGTTTATGGCTTCCTCCATTTCTGCACTGAAAAGGTTCATGACCAGATATCCTTAAAGGAGCACACATTTTCCTTCCACATAACCTCATGAAAATGTTTTTTAATTGGTGGGGTCACCCATAGATTCTCAAAGGCTTGTATGTTGGGACTCTTGTTCCAGATACTCATCAAAGATTTTAAAAAGGAGAGGAATACTGAAGAAGGAAAATTTTATGCCAATAGTTATGGGGCTGAAAGAATTTCAGAGAAGCTCAGGACAAATAAAATGTAAAATGGCATGGAAAAAGGGGTGAAGAGAAATAAGTACATACAAAGATGAGCTTTGAGTTGACCATTACATCCCACATCCTGTTATCATAGATAA